TCCTTCCTTCCTTCCTTCCTTCCTTCCTTCCTTCCTTCCTTCCTTCCTTCCTTCCTCCCTCCTTCCTTCCTTCCTTCCTTCCTTCCTTCCTTCCTTCCTTCCTCCTTCCTTCCTTCCTTCTTCCTTCCTTCCTTCCTTCTTCCTTCCTTCCTTCCTTCCTTCCTTCTTTTCTTTCTTCCTTCCCAAAGTGGAAGAAGCTTCTTTAAGAGTGAGTGGATTCCTTTCTCTAGAGATCTCTTAAGCATGGGCTGAGGGTCCACTGGTAGAGGAGGGTAGAGAAGGAATTCTTGTTCAGGTACAAGTGATTCCAGATGGTTTCTGAGATCCCTTCCATTCCTGAGATTCTGGGAGCCTATGATCTCCTTGCAGACATTCCCTAGTGAGTGCCATCTGTATACTCACCCCTTTTGCTCCCTCATAGGACATGGTGTTTTGTTAAGCATTCAGCAGATCAATTCAAACATTTATTAAGCACCTGCTGTTTGTCAGGCACTGTGATAGATGCTGGAGATACAAGGACAAAGTTTAAACAAGTCCCTGCCCTCAGTGCTATTGCATTGTACTGGATGATAGAGCATTTATATGGAGAAGTTTTAGTCTTTCTTTTTATGATGAAATGTCATGTTTGCTGAGGATTGTTAAGTTCAAAATAGCATCTTGGTGGCTCCATGGACAGTTAATATGTATGCATATGTATGTTAGAATGTATTCATATACTCACATATAATATATTAATAGAAATATGAAATACAAATGTATATGTGTACGTGCATATATATGTAAATACACACACACTCTATTATCCACTAGAATGCAAGATCCCTGAGGGCAGGTACTGTTTTAACTTTGACCCTATTTTTTTTTTTTGGCTGGGCAATGGGGTTAAGTGACTTGACCAGGGTCACACAGCTAGTAAGTGTCAAGTGTCTGAGCCCGGATTTGAACTCAGGTCCTCCTGACTTCAGGGCTAGTGCTCTATCTACTGTGCCACCTAGCTGCCCCTAACCCTGTGTTTTTAGCACACATATGTGTGCATGTGTGTGTATCTCATCAATACCTCAAGAGCAAGGCCTCGGCCTTCTGTTTTCACTTTGTGTCCTTCGTGGTGCCTGCTTTGTCTTCTACACAATTAGCAGACTTCTTGGGTTCTTACAGAAGCTAGCAGTTGGCTCTTCAGTATAATGGATGTGTACCCTCCATCTTTTCCAGAAATTTCTAATCTGCTTGTGGCCACCAAGAAAGCCCAGGAATGCTTGCCAGTCTATACAATGAGCCAGCTGAGTTTCCATCGAATTCTCAAGGAAGACATCATTCAGGTGAGTTCATTGTGTTTCCGCCTGCCAGCACCTTTGGGATGAGGAGATCTTCCCTTGGGGATATTGTCGTGGGAGACTAAACAATAGGGCTTTATTTCCTGCTGAAAGGAAATCAGCTTTGGCCGGTCCCCTCCCAGCCTTAGAGGACCAGATGTCAATACCTTAAGTATCAAGGATCGTGAGATCATAGATTTAGACATAGAACAGACCTGAGAGCCGTCTTGTCCAACTCTCTCATTTTATTGATGAGGAAAATAAAGCCTGATTGACTTGCCTATGATCACAGAAGTATGAACACAAACAGGATTTGAACCCAATACCTATAACTCCAAATCTAGTGCATCTTTCTACTCATACTACCTCTCAAGCGTTGTCTCTTCATTATTGGCCATCTCCACCATTGACTTTCTGTCAGATTCAGTTTCCTCATCTATAAAACAGAAATGATAATATGTCTCCTACCTGTCTACATAGACAGATAAATTGATAAAGCATGTATTAATAGCTTACTGGTGCCAGGAATTACTCACAGGCTCATTACAAAGAAAGCTCTTTATAAAACAGTGAAGAGCTATTGACAGGGGAAGTCCCTTCCAACTCTAGATGTGAGACCCTAAGCTTGCCAGTTGAGTAGTCGTGGTGGTGTTGGCAGCAGAAGTAGCAATCTGGAAGAATACTCAGATGCAGTGGGGAGTTATCCTGGGTTACTTGAGGGACATTATTTATCTTTCTTAGGGAAAGAAAAAGTTAATTCTACATCTTATGGCTTTTGTTAACAAAGAATCTAAAAGATGGAAAAGACCTGGGTCAACATGAATTACTCAGGTTTAGGCTAAGGACCTTCCCTATCTGCCAACGTAAATCATGGGGTGATAGAGCTAGAAGAGGTCTTGAGAATCGTTTAGTTCAATCCCTTGTTATACAGATGAGGAAACTGAAGCCGGAGAGTGGATGTGATTGGTCAAAATCCCATAGTGAGTTAACGCTGAAGCCAGGACTAGACCTGAAGGTCTCCTGACTCTCACCTTCCATGCTGTACAACACAACTTTTCATGTTTGCAGCAGGGAGAAAGAATGGTGGATTTGGATCCTGGGGTGAAAGTCTACTTTTGCTACTTACTAGATGTGTGACTCTGGGCAAATCACTTGCCCTCCCTGGAGAGTAACAACTTAGCACACTTTCTCTCTGGGAACCTCAAACTTTCCATTGGCCTTTTGTGTTTCCTTTCCCTTCATGCTTCCTACAAACAATGTGCTTTGTCTCCCCTTCTCTCTGAAGCCTGGTCTCTAACTGTACCAGCCTCCTGACCTTTAGCTCCATAGCTGCCTCCGTCAGCTGTAGGGTACCCTCCCTGTCCCTTCTGGGACCACCATAGCAATAGGAGCCCCGCATAAAGCTGGTCTTTCTCTTTTGTTAACAAAATACATTATTCCCAAGTGCAATGAAGGTGGTGAATTACTGCTCAGAAGAGGTGTTTTAGTGAAGGTTAGATGACCACATGTTGAGTGTGGGGAGTTGTGCCTGAATGGATTGAGCTGGATGGGGTCTGTGATTCCGTGAAAACTTCTCTGGGAAGGAATTTGGGGACACAGCGGGCCTCCTACCCTTCCGTCTCGTACGTCTCAACGTCTCTAACTGGTAGGCGGTTGGGCCACAGAGAGAAGGGAAGATGGGTGACTGGGTTTGCTGAATTTCACCAAATAAACCCAGATAACTTAGCTTAGGAGAGAGAGAGAATGATCACTCAGTGAGTGCCTGGAAGCATATGGACATTCCGGGAAATCTGGAGGAAGCTTGGCATCCCAAGCCGTGACTTCTATGAATTAAACACATGATACTTACCCATTACTACGTGTAAGCAGTCCGCAGATCAAGTCAAATTCGATTTTATCTCCTGAAGTTTAGGGCCTGTCTTGTAACAAGGTCACGCAGGCCCCCCAGCTCCAAAGGTAGTGGAGAGACGGACGGACGTGGGTTTGCCGAGGCCTCGTTCATCTGCCAGAGAGAAGAGACTCAACACAGGGATAGAAGAGCCTGCCTGTGATTCTGAAAATCTTTCGTTTCCCACTGTTGTTCTTTTCTCTCCCATTCTTCCCCACATACTTAGAGGCCTGGAGTGAACAAGACCTGAATTCAAATCCTGCCTCAGATACTTGCTAGCTATGTGACCCTGGGCAAGTCACTTAACCTCTCTCTGCTTCAGCATCCTCATCTGTAAAATGGGGATAATAATACCACCTACCTCCCAAGGTTGTGGTGAAGATCTGATGAGATAACATTTGTAAAGCACTTAGCGCAGTGCCTGGCACATAGTAGGGGCTTAACGGATGCTAATTGACTATGACTAGCATGAGCCTGCCAATGGACTGTGTGTTGGCCAACTTGGGACAAGACCTCGTCTGATAGGGAGAGACTTGAACTGGTCGTCTACGAGGGATGAATTTTTCCACCACGGCGACCTTCACATCTTAAGTGGGTCACAATCAGTGTCAGTGAAAGGAGTATCCATCCTGATGAAGCGCGGGATCTTTGACACCCTGGAGTATTAGAGTGTCTCCTGTCTCCGTGCCTTTGCACGGACTGTGCCCCACGTCTGGAATATTCTACCTCCTCACATCTGCACCTTCCTTTCTCTGGCTTCCTTCAAGACTCAGCTCCAGTCCCACCTGCAGAAGGACGTCCCTCCATCTGCTAGTGCCTTTCTCTCTGAGATTCCATGTAATCTGTATAGATCTTGTGTGTGTCTATTTATATCCATATTGTCTACTCTGTCAGAATGTGAGCTCCTTGAGGGCAGGCAACCTTTTCAAACCTTTCTTTGTATCTCTAGTACTTCACACAATGAGAGCTTAATAATTGCTGGTTGGCCCTAAGTGACTGACTAGAAGTATCCCTCGCCCACCATGATGTTTAGTCATTGCTTGGTGAAGGAACTGTGATTTCAACATGAAAACTCCCTCAGTCAAGGCAGATTGCGGCCTGTCTATGAATTAGGAGATCATCAAAGCATAGAACTTAGGCTGGCAGGAACCCCAGAGACCATCCGGCTCATCCACATCCCCTGCCGACTTTCTCTTTTTCAGTAGATTAGGAAGCTGAGGCCCAGGGAAGTTCACACAGATAGTCAGTGGCAGAGACGTGAAAGCCGAGTCTTCTCACGCCAAAGCCAGCGCCCTTCTACCACGTCCTGAGGAGTTACTCTAGGGTCAGAGAATCAGGGGACACGCACCCAGGATCCCACAGCTGGTTAGTGCCAGAGCCCACCTACCTCTAATCCACTCAGCCATGCTGCCTCCTCCCTTAAAATTAGCCCCTCAGAAGGTGAATTCCCATTGAAAATGGGAGGCAGAGGACAGGCTAGGGAGCTGGCCTCGGAAGTAGGGAGACCTGGGTTCATGTTCTGCCTTCTGACCCCTACCGGCTGCTGAGCCTGGGCGCTTGCATTGGTGAAGGGAATCGACTCACTGAGACTTCCCAGTGAGTGAATAAAATCACAGGTCTGGATCCCCCCACCCAAAAAAAAGCAATAGAATGGAGTCACAGGAGCATGGTTATCATGCCAGAAGGAACGAGGACCTAGCTTCCTGCTTTTACAGACAGGGAGCCTGGAGGCCAGAGAAGTGAAGGGATCTGTCCAAGGTTACACGCATCGATCAGCAGCAAAGTAGGCTTCAAGTCCGGGTTCTCTGTCCGCACCCAGGCACTTGCAGCTCTCAGCTCGCCTGCTGCGCATCCTTGTGTCTCGGATGGATTCCTCTAGTGGTCTTGGGGATGGCCTGGGATTTTCAGGAATGTGAACACTGGAAAGTTTTCCCTGCATCCAAAGGGCCCTTTCAGTGGCAGTAATTGCATTGAACTCTCAATGGCATTTCTGGGATGCTGCAGGCATGTGACTGCCCATAAACCCCAGGCAAATCCTGCATAAATATGGCAGCTTTAATCAATAACCCTTGAAGGATGGCGTTGGGCAGGAGCCCTTCCTAAGAGCAGATGAGAAATGTCGGCTAATATCCAAATGAATCAGGTTGGGCAAAGAGCGATCCTTGTTTCCATCCGCTTGGAGCCTCCGTGGAGCTTTATCTCCTTCCAGAGGATCCGTTAACCAACAAAAATGTCTCAGTTGCCTGTTCTGGGCAAAGCCAAGAGGCGGTGGGGTGGGTGCAGTGGGTAGGGTTCCAGACTAGACTTTGATTCCTGCCTCTGACATTGAATAGCTGTGATTCTGTCCTGAAGATAAAGGTCGCATCCTTTGATGGGAGATGAGAGAGAGTAAATGGTTGGCTCCTGGTGGAGACAGATGGCGGGATTGTTAACTCCTCGCTTTCTCCAAGTATTGTTTAGCATCCCTGGAGTCTGAGGAGAGAAAACCAATGGTCAGGTGACCTAAGATTGGTAGGGTGTGGTGTGAGCCGTGGTAGGTGAAGGGGGACAAGAGAGCCGAGGCTAGCCCACAGGACACAGAAGGGCGGTGGAAGGGGAGGGGGACCTTCAAAGTCATCTAGTCCAATCCCTCTCATTTTACAGGTGAGGAAACCAAGGCCTCTGGAGTGAAGCAACTTGCCCACGGTCACACAGATAGTAAGCTTCAGAACAAGAGTTCAAATTCAACCTCAGGCATTTAGTAGCTGTGTGACCCTGGGCAAGTCACTTAACTTCTGTTCACCTCAGTTTCTTCAGCTTAAAAATGAGAAGAATAACCTAACTCACAGAATTGTTGTGGGGATCAAATGAGGTGATATTTGTAAAGTGCTTAGCACATGCCTGGCAGGTAGTGGGTGATATATAACTGCTTATTCCTTCCTCTTCTCCTCCCTAATCCGTGTTAATGGAATGGACAGAGTTAGGAAGCATTTCGTGAAGTAGGATTGAGTCAGAATTTTATTCCTTTGGGTCACTGGTCATTTCAAGGTACACAGAGTCATGGAGAGTGAGAGTGATGTGGCATTGCTCTCTTTGAGGATGGACATTTGTCCACGAGGTCTTTTCTCAAGGCACCATAGGGATTAGCAATGCTGAGGCCCCTTTGCCCCCATCGGGTTTTGTCGAGCCCTCCTGGCCGGCACCTCCTTCTCCTCCAGTCCTGTTCAGCCCAGCACCTCCAGCCTCTGTGATTACTGAGCTCCCTCCCTTGTTCCGTTGGTTTTGTTTAGGGAGAGCACATGGGACGAGGCACTCGGACCCAGATCTACTCAGGGACCCTGGACTACAGGGATGAGGAAGGCAGCTCCGATGAGAAAAAGATGAAAGTGATTCTCAAAGTCTTGGACCCCAGTCACAGGGACATTTCTCTGGTAAGTCCATCCTCCAAGGCTGCTCTCCCCCTCACTCGTCTTCCAGTCAGCTCTGGCCATCTGTAGCTGGCATGTCCTGTGGCCTTTGCCCTACAAGTGGGTTTAAAGGAGCATTGTGTCTCGGTGAGAATCTTCCAGCATGTCCTGAAACCAGGCCGTAGCCTCATCTTTGAACATGTGTGTGCATGTGCATGTATGTGCATATAGGTGTGTGCATGCATGTGTTCATGCTGGGGGTTGTCACGTGGAACATGCTTGGGGAGGAGGTTTCCAGTGTTTGTGACCTCAGCTCCTCCAGGGGGTTCCAAGGCTGGCGTTTTGATCGGTGTGATTCTGTCCTCCCCAACCCCAATTCTCAAATTTCCACGCAGGCTTTCTTCGAGGCCGCCAGCATGATGAGACAAGTCTCCCACAAGCACATCGTGTATCTCTACGGCGTCTGTGTCCGGGATGTGGAAAGTGAGTTTGCTTCTTTGGAGGGGCGCTCCAGCACCCAGAGCGTGTCTGTTCTGGTGTATTTACCAAATAGAAAAGGATGCCAGAGAGGTGAAATGGTGCAAACGTTCTCATGTACAGTGGATGTGCCCGTTGAGTTGACTTTTTCCCTTCTTATTTGTGCTTCGTTGTAAGAGATGATTCCTTGGTTAGGAGAAGGGAGGGGTAGATATTTGGAAGTGAAGGTTATGCAAAAAGAAAAAATATCAGCAAAAGACAATTTGATACATAGGAAAGAAGGGTGGATTTGAAATCCAAGGACCTGGGTTCAAATCCCACCATTGACCTTTAGTACCAGTTTAACCCAAGGAAAGTCATTTAACTTCCCTGAATTTGTTTCCTTTTCTGTAAAATGAGGTAACAGGTCGAAGGGCATCTGAAGTCTCTTGTAGTTATTGAGCTCTCATCCGTGTGTGTGTGTGTGTGTGAGTGAGAGAAAGAGAGAGAGACAGAGACAGAGAGAGAGAGAGAGAGACAGAGAGAGAGAGAGAGAGACAGAGAGACAGGGAGACAGGGAGAGGAGAGAGAGAAAGAAAGAGAAGGGGGGAGACAGAAAGAGAGAGCCAGAGAGAAAGAGACAGAGAGACAGGGAGAGAAGAGAGGCACAGAGAAGAAAGCAAGAGAGAACAGAGGAGGGCAAGAAGATATAAATAGAGAAAGAGAGAGGGGGAAGACTGAGACAGAGAACCTTCCTCTTGGGGCCGTATTTCCTCATCTGTAAAAATGAGGAAGTTGGAGTAGATGACTGCTGAAGTCCCTTCCTCCTCTAAATCTATGATTTTATGAAATATTCAAAGGTAAACAAAAGAAAGGTTGCTGAGACAAGCTCTCACATTCTGTCGTGTATCTGTGCTGCCCCCTCTCCTCCTCCTCCTCCTCCTCCTCCTTCCTCTCTCTGTCTCTGTCTCTCTGTCTGTCTGTCTGTCTCTGTCTCTGTGTCTCTCTCTCTGTGTTTCCACAGCTGTATCTATAACACCCCTACACTCTCCCCAGGAGTTATGGGAACGCAATTATTTATTGTTAATTTGCATAGGGAGAAACTGAGATACTGAATGTCTTAGGTTATGGGTACTTAATCATGAAACTGGGACTCTAGCACAGATGTCCAGTGAGAGTTTTTTCTGTCACCTTGTGTCCAGAGACGTGGTCTGTTTGCACAGTGGACAGCTGTTAAATTTGGGGCAGGAAGACGCGCATTCAAGTCCTCTCTCAATCACTTAACTAGTTTTGTGACCCTGAGCTAGTCACTTAACTCTGTGAAGCAACTTTAAGTGCTTCATCTGTGAAATGGAAGCAGTCATGGTGTAAATCGCAGCGTACTTCCCTTCCAGGGTTGTTGTGATGTTGAAATGAGACAATGTCCATTAAGCTGTAGAGAAATGTTAGCTGCTCTTGGTCTTCTGAGAAGGAGTGATTGGCTTGGGGGAGGGGGAGGGATTGGCCTAGGTGAACGGGTGGGATCTGAACAGCCATGCCCTGTCTTTCTGTGCCCTCAGACATCATGGTAGAGGAATTTATGGAGTTTGGGCCCCTGGACCTCTTCATGCATCGGAAAAGTGAACTCCTCACCACACCGTGGAAATTCAAGGTTGCCAAACAGCTGGCCAGTGCTCTGAGTTACTTGGTAAGACCAAACCCTGATTAGCTTCACCCCGGGCTGGCTTCCTCAGCGTTCAGCAGCCAGCAGCCCTTATCCTTGTCATCTCTCTCCATGGCGGGAATGGTCAGGAGGAGAGAGTGGCCAGGAGGATGTAGGGAGAAACCTCAGTGGGGGGTCCAGAACTGGACCTTGGCATTTGAGTGTCAGGTATAGAGCTAAGTAGGGGAAGGGGATAGGGTGGGATTGCGGAAGTCAGTCATGTCAACCTTGGGAAGGAGATAAAGGGAGAAAAGAATGGGTATGCTGCCACTGAGAAGTCAAGAAGGGTGAGCGTGGTTTGTGCGTGTTTCCCTCTGGGATGCACACTTCTGGTCCAGGAGATGTGAGTAATTTCACACTCAAGTAGCTGAAGAGAAATGGAGAACAGAAACGTGATGGGCCAGAAGAAGGGACTCAGGAATGCGTGTAGGAGCCTGGGCTTCATAGTCTAACCGGCCATTTCCTGTGTCCTTGGGAAGATTCCTTCACCTCTCTCATCTTCAGCTTTTATGAAAACCTGACTTGGGAGTTCGTTGGTTTAGAGAGTTCTCAGCAAGGAATTTCTTTCTGCCTATTCTGATTGGCACCTTCTCCACAGCTCAACTGTAGCGACTGAAACGTTGCTCCTTTCTGGGCCTCAGTTTCCTATTTAGTGAAAAGAAGAGGTTGGATTAGATGGCTTCTGGGTCCTTTCCAGCCTTGAGTCTTTGATCTCTTAATCCTTCTGGTCTAAGGTGACGTGACCTATCTGTGGTCAAACATCCAGCATTTGTCCGAGGCAAGACTTGACCCCAAGCCCCCTTGACTCCATGTTCTGCTCTCGATCGACTACGTCACCCCTAATGCTTAGCAATTCTCCACTGTCTGGGGGAGAATACCAACAACAGCTGAGTTTGCAGAGTCAAGCCAGAATGTCTCCAAGACTTCCTGGAGACTTTCTGTCCCGGGGAGATGAAAACAGCCTTCATTGTTTGCCCCGGGGTTGGCCTGCTCACCGTGGGGGGTCTCTCTTCTTTTATAGGAGGACAAAGATTTGGTCCATGGGAATGTGTGCGCTAAAAATGTCCTCTTGGCCAGAGAGGGCCTGGATGGTGAGTGCAGCCCCTTTATCAAGCTCAGCGATCCTGGGATCCCCATCACCGTGCTCTCTCGACAGGGTATGTCTGCCTGGCACTGGCTCAGCTTTCTGCTCGGGGTGGGGGTGGGGATTGGTGGGGGTGGGGGTGGGGGATGGCTCACAAAAAAAGCCATATCAACACTTTCTCCTGGAATAGCGTCTTTGCTGTGTTCATTTTGAAAGTCACTGTAGCTTCTCTTATCTGCTGTCTCACTGGTCTCCCACTTCCTCTTACAACATCATTGGGTTTAAAGAGAGCCAGCAGATGTGTCCTTTCAATGAATACAAAGTGGCTTGTCAGAGGCCCTCATGAAGTGCCCAGAAGCCCAGGAAATGGTGCAGTCAGAGGCTTGAGGTGGTGGTTGTGGTTGGGAGACAGTGAGGACAGGCTGACTTGTCCCGTTTAGACGCCCCTGATGCCCTATTGCCTCAGAAGAGAGCAAAACTGAGGTGAAAACCTACACAGAATGAGGCTGGGGAATGGGTCAGGTCCCAGCCATGTTTTCAACTAATTCAGTCCAATAAATTGAATTTGAATTATTTGTCTACATATGTATATAATATATTTAAATCATTTGAATTCAATTCAGTTTGAATCATTTGTATATACATATATTAATTTGAATTCAATTAATTTAATTAGAATTATTTGTATACATATGTTTGAATTCAATTAATTCAATTCAATTTGAATTATTTGTATACATATATTAATTTGAATTTAATTCCATTTGAATTATTTGTAAACATATATTAATTTGAATTCAATTCCATTAATTCAATTCAATTTAATGAGCAGTGTTGAAGTACTTACTATGTAGTAAGGATTGTTCTGCTAGATGCTGGGGCTCCAAATACAACGAGTGAAACAATAGCTTTGTTCAAGGCGCTCCTATTCAGAGGGCTGCGTTGGGAGGGGGGGGTTACAAAGATAAATATGGCAAGATTATAACCTGGCAGGGGGATATCTCACACACACACACACACACAGACACACACATGGATATGCACACGCACACATACACACACAGACACACACATGGATACACACACACACACACACACACACACATACACGGACCATTATTATAGCATTAAATAGAACAAAGGAAGGGCGTAGAGGTGAACTACTATATGAGCTTTCTGCATCACTATAGATGGTTGCCATCTTTATGTCTTAGATGTCTGAGCCCATGAGTACAGATGTACTTGTCAAAGGTGAGTTTCCAGATGTCAAGGCAGGGAAGTTCTGGTCTCTTTGTAGAGTGGATTGCCTTTGGCACCAAGATTACCTGGTTCAAAGATTGCCAACCAATGGATAAACTTATTTATGAAATGGTACATTTCCCTACCTTTCCCCAGCCCTTCTCTCCCTATATTTCTCTACCCTTTATCACTTCCTTCCTCTACTTCTCACCTCCAAGTAGAGATTCAAGATGTCTAGATGGAGTTAGTAAAGACTGGAAGATCTGGGTTCAAATTGTAGCTCCATCATTTAACTAAAAGTGTGGACCTCAACAAATCATTAGCCTCAATTTCCTTATCTGTAGAATGAGGATAAGAAAACTTGCCATCATCTACCTCATGGGGGGCAGCATGGTGTTGGGGATGAAGGTAGAGCTTGGAGTCAGAAATACTTGGGATCAATACTTGCCAAGGTCACATGTTGGCTGTGTGAGCCCATACAAGTGACTTCACCTCTCAAAGGCCCCAGACAAGACTCTTAAGATTGTAAGTCACCAAGGAGGTACCAGCTTCCGTTGGAACTCCCCAACAAAATCACAGATGTGGGCAAAAAAAACACAAAACCCAAAGAAATCTACCTCGTTCACAAGGCTTCTACAAGGATTCAGTGGGAGAGGGGCAGCTAGGTGGTGCAGTGGATAGAACACCGGCCCTGAAGTCAGGAGGACCTGAGTTCAAATCCGGCCTCAAACCAAATACTTGACACTTACTAGATATGTGACCCTGGGCAAGTCACTTAATCCCAATTGCCTGAAAAAAAAAGATGAAGGGCTGGACTCGATGACTTTGAGGATTCTAGGATACTCTGGATAATGCAGGGGATGACACTCTGTGATCTCAAAGCACAATAGAAACATGAGCTGTTATTTTTGGAATGCTTGGCTGGCTGAGCCAGTGAGGTCATCCTACTGCCCCTCTCTTTAGAAGAGGAAGGACACTTCAGTGTGGGCTTGAGAGCAGGAGAGATTTCAAGATGTGTATTGAGTTTCACTCAGAGGCTGCTATTGGTTGGGGAAGAAGAAGGAGAAGGAGGAGCATCAGGAAGAGAAGAAGATGAAGATGAAAAAGATGAAGAAGATGATGACAAAGACGAAGATGAAGACGACAAAGATAAAGAGTATGACAAAGACAAAGAAGGTGAACACAAAGAAGAAGATGATGAAGAAGACAAAGACGACGAAGATGACGAAGAGGGAGGACAACGACGACGGCTTGGGAGGTAGTTACTATCAGGTTTCCAGACGCCGGGTCACACAGCCAGTGAACCGGAGGCAGGGTTGGAACGTGGCTTTTGCGGACGTCCCAAGTCAGTTTCAGGTGTTCGTTTCAGAAACTAGAATTTCAGTGTTGTGTTTGGGGGCAATCTTTTTGTTTTTCTTTCGACAGAGTGTGTGGAACGGATCCCCTGGATTGCACCAGAATGCGTGGATGACTCCAAGAACCTGAGCGTGGCTGCTGATAAATGGAGCTTTGGCACAACCCTCTGGGAGATCTGCTACAACGGAGAAATCCCCTTGAAAGATAAGACGCTAGCAGAGGTAAATAGATGGATGAAGCATTATTATGCACCAGGCACCATTCTAAGGGAGATGGATGCAAATCCAAGCAAGCTTGCCGACAATATAAGCTTATTGACAGTCAGTCAATAAGCATTTATTATATGCTTACTGTGTGCCAGTCATGTTCTTGTTCTAGAGGAGTTTCAGTTCTAAGGAGAGAAGAAAGTGTGTCAAAGAAAGCCGGAAGGGTGTGTCTGTGTGGGTGTGTGTAATTGTCTAGGAAGTGAGGTGGAGGCCTGGATCTGGGTAAGATACAGCAAACGTTCATCCACGACACCCTGGGTGATTCCAGGGCTGAATTCCAAGTTCCCCCTAGAAGGGAGCTGGGATGATGAATGGAAAGCAGGTGGTGGTATGGCTTCGAGATGCCTCCCCCTGTTTTCAATGCTTCCCCATCCCAAAGCTGCTTGTGAGGTTCGAGGGAAAGGATTTGGTCAACAAGCATTTGTGCCAAATGTTACGCTAAGTGCTGGGATACAAAGAAGGGCAAACACCAGCCCTGCCGTCAAAGAGCCCAGCTTCTAATGGTAGAGAATGCTCCCACCACACACAGGATCCATATGGGTAAATGGGAAGTCCTCTCCAAGGGAAGGCGCTAGCATCAAGAGGAACAAATGAATGAAGGAAACCTTCTGTCCCAAGAGAATGTGGGTAAGTGCTTCCCTTGGATCTCTGCTGCCTCTGACGCCTCACTCGTGGCCCTCATGGTTGTTTCTTCCAGAAAGAGCGGTTTTATGAAGGGCGAGTTATGCCGGTCACCCCCTCGTGCAGGGAGCTAGCTGACCTGATGACGCAGTGCATGAACTACGACTCTAGTCAGAGACCCTTCTTCCGCGCCATCATGAGAGACATCAATAAACTAGAAGAACAGAGTAAGTCCTTCTTTGCTGTGACGGTGCTAAGCAGGCCACCAGGAAGCTGGCCATGGGCGTGTTAGCTCCCGTGAGCGTATGTGGCCCGGAGTCCTTGTTAAAGCATGTGTCCAAATTGGAAAACAAAGATTAAAAGCAAAGCCTTTCCTTTTATACTTTTCTAGACCCGGATATTCTTTCAGAGAAACAACCAATGGCTGAGGTAGATCCCACCCATTTTGAAAAGCGGTTCTTGAAGAGGATCCGTGACTTGGGAGAGGTAAATGCACAGCAGAAAAGGAACGCCTTCTGTTGGACGGCATTTCTCATGCTCTGGGCACGCCCTCCTCCTTCAGTATTTGGGACTCAGAGTCACCATGGGAGGTGGGCAGAGTAGGTGTGTAAGTGACTCCCCTCTACCCAGCTGGCAGACGGTGACATCAAGAAGGATACCCAGAGCTCTTTGCACCGTCCTGAGGTACTTCTCCAAAAGGTCCTACTGGCCAATGAATCCTGTGCTGTGACCTGTGAACCCTGGTATCTCCTTAGAGACGGCAGCTAGTGGATGCAGCGTTGGAACGGAGTCAGGAAGAGTGGAGTTCTTATCTTGCCTCAGACATCTTCTAGCTGTGTGACCCTGGGCAAGTCACTTAATACAGTGCAGGAGCTGGACTCTTGGTGGAGGCGGTTTCAGCATTTATTTGGCGCTTACCATTTTAACCGCGTGCCCGGCACTGTGCTCAGTGCTTTATGATTATTATCTCATTTGAGCCTCACAATAACCCTGGGAGGGAGGTGTTCTTATTATTCCCATTTTACAGATGAAAAAATTGAGGCAGTCAGGGGTTAAGTGACTTGCCCAGGTTTACACAGTTAGGAAGTGTCTAAGACTGGATTTGAACTCACGTCTTCCTGATTCAGGTGTTCTATGCCACTGTTTCTGACAGGGTACTGAAACTGAACGCTGAAGGAAGTCAGAGATTCTAGAATAGAAGTGGAAGTGGAGAGGGAGTGCATTCCAGGCATGGGGACGTCCCACGCAAAGGCGTGGAGATGGGGGATGGGATCTTGTGGATGAGGAACAGCAAATAAGCTTGAACCTGAACCTGCCCTCTGCCCTCTCCCTCTCTGCCTTTTTCCTTTCTTTCCCCTCTCTTCCTGCTTTCCCCCTCTCCCTCTTCTTTCTTTCTCCCCCTCTCCCTCTTCTCTCCCTCTTCCTCTCCACCCTCCCCCTCTTCCCTCTCCCCTTCTCTCCCTCCTCCCCTCCCCCTCTCTGTGTCTCATCACCCAGGGCCACTTTGGGAAAGTTGAACTCTGCAGGTATGACCCTGAGGGGGACAACACCGGAGAGCAGGTTGCGGTCAAGTCTCTGAAGCCAGAGAGTGGGGGAAACCAGATAGCGGACCTGAAGAAGGAGATCGAAATCTTGAAGAACCTTTATCATGAAAACATTGTGAAATACAAAGGGATTTGTACAGAGGACGGTATGAGAGGCTTTCCTGGAGGGGCAGGGCAGGGGTGGGGCTGACTCAGGCTGACATCAGGGCTAGATGTTGGGATGGGGGGGTTAGGGGGAAAGGAAGCTGAGCCTCGTATTTTGAACAGGACAAAAAGCCACGCCAGGTGCCTGCCTGCTGGCCTGCTGGTCCATCTGGCCTCTCTCCCCGCATAGGGCCCAAGCCTTGTACAGAGCAGCGTTCAGCACAGAGTCTGGAGCACTCTGGAATGGCGCCCAATGCCCTCCTACCCAGCAGGCTTCCCTTCAGCACCCAATCCTTTCAGCTTCTTCCCCTAAGCAAGGGAAGAGTCCTGGGCACTTTTGGATTTTTTAATAACCTCACGTATCCGCTGGTAGTGCTTGGCCGAGAGCAACCACATTGAATGGTCTGCAAGTCAGTGTTTGCCCTACTTTTCTTACTCTTGGTTTGAGATACGTCAGTGCATTAGTCAGTCAGTAAATAAGCATTTATTAAGCACCTACTGTATGCTAGGAACTTCACTAAATGCTGAGGACACAAGGAAAGGCAAAAGACACTGAAAGAACTCACTTTCTACTGGAGGGGAAACCATGCAAACCATCTGGTAAAGTCCCCTTAATAAAAGGATTTGTTCTGTAAAACTTGGACTCAGTCAAAAGGCCGCATCCAAGGACCTAGAAGGCCACACCCAAGGACCTAGAGGGCCACATGTGGCCTGTAGGCCACTGGTATAGACAAACTATAAACAGGATAAATTGGAAATAACCAAGAGAGGAAAGCTTTTAGCCTTGGATTTCTCATTGTCCTCATGTGGTCATTCATTCATTCAAAACACATATAGTCAGCACCCATCCACGTGAATTGCTTTTCACTTGGGGCCAGGTGGAGGTGTGATACAAAGACAATGCCACCATTTCTGGCTAAGACCAGTTCTCTTATTTGATTCTCATTGGGACCCTGTGAGGTAAGGGCTGTCACTATGCTCACTTTATAGATGAGGAAACTGAGGCTCCCGGGTTAAAAAGTTTACCTTGGGTAAAAGGGTCAGTAAAATGTCTGAGAGGAGATTTGATCTCAGGCCTTCCTGGCTTCCACTAGAACAAAATAGCTCCTTCAAGTACCCAGGAGACACAGGACCTACCTTCCAGTGGCGTACAGTTATCTGAGGGCTATGGACTGTATTCGTAACTGGTAACGTGTCTTCAGAATTAATCATCTAAAGAAGAATTTACTTCTAACCCAGTCATGTGGGCTCCTTTTTTCATGGCTTATTTTGAAGCCAGCAGGAAAATGAGTTAATTAAAAAGCAGCAATTTACCACCTTAGATTCTTATGTTTTTCCTTTTTTTTTTTTTTTTAAACAGGAGGAAATAGGATTAAACTTATTATGGAGTTCCTGCCTTCTGGGAGCCTGAAGGAATATCTTCCTAGGAATAAAAACAAAATCAACCTCAAACAGCAGCTGAAGTACGCGGTTCAGATTTGCAAGGTAAGGAAGGTGGCCTATCATTGGATGCCCCGAGAATGGCAGGGCCGGTGTCCTGTTTCCTGGAATGTTGTTCAATCACTTTTCAGTCATGTCTGACTCTTCATGACTCCACTTGGGGTTTTCTTGGCAGAGATACTAGAGTGGTTTGCCATTTCCTTCTCTAGCTCATTTGACAGATGAGGAAACTGAGGCAAACAGGGTGAAGTGACATGCCCAGGGTCACACAGCTAGTAAATGTCTGAGGCTGGATTTGAACTCAAGTCTTCCTGACTCCAAGCCTGGTGCTCTGTGCAATATAGCGCCCCCTAGTAGTCTTTGTTTCCGGGGAAGGTTTTGGTTTGTCAGTTTTTCACCATGCTGATTTGGTGTTTTATTTTTACAAGATTATGGGATTTTGGATTCAGAACCAGAAAGGACCTTAGGTTAGCTGGTCTAACGTCCTCATTTTCCATGAGAAAAATGAGCCTCCAAGAGGGTAGGTGACCTGTCAAAGGTCATACAGTTTATAGTTAGTTTATAAGCACTTACTATGCGCCAGGTAGTGCGCTAAGCACTTTACAAATGCCATTTCACTTGGTCATCCAGACAACCCTGGGATGTAGGTGCTGTCCGTGTAGCAAACAGGTCACTAGGTGGCGCCATAGTGCAGAGCGCTGGTCCTAGAGTTGGGAAGATTCCTCTTCCTTAGTTCAAATCTGGCCTCACTTACTTGCTGTGTGACCCTAGGCAAGTCACTTAACTCTGTTTGCCTCGGTCTCCTCATCTGTAAAATGAGCTGGAGAAGGAAATGTCAAACCACTCCAGGATCTCTGCCAAGAAATCCCCAAATAGGGTCACAGAGTGTTGGACACGACTGAAAACCATTCAACAACAACAAAAAAATTTAAATCTACACATGTATGTTTTTCTAAGTCAGTCTGTGGCTTGCAGGGATCCCTCTGTATGGTTTAGTGGCCCTGGCCTGGAGGATCAGAAATTGCTGGTCTGGGGCCCGCCCCAACATGGGGGTTCTGGGCAGAATTCACCAATGGGAGAAGGGCCCACAGGGCAGTGAGGAAACAGCTGAGACGGGTGACAGTCCAGAGTAGCAGTTGGGATTTGAACCCAGGGCCACCATAGGGAAGGGGGTCATCATGGACTAGTGGATACAGTACTGACCTTTCTTAGGAAAGGAAGCCCTGCACAGATGAAAGGGCAGCTAAAGAATTTGGCGTGTTCACGTCCTCTTAATGACATGCGGCTTCATCAGTGTAGGGAATTACTAGGGTGAAATGCCTTCCCCTGATGCAGAATCATGACTCCTCTCTAAACTGTAGTCTGAGAGAGTTGCCTGGGATCCTGAAAAGTTAAATGATGTCCAGGATCGCACAGCTGAGAAGTGTCAGAAGCGGGATTCGAACACAGGTCTTCCTGACTCCACATCTGCCCTGTGTCTGCCAGGACCTGCTACCCCTCTGAAGTCATTGCTGGGTTAAAAAAAATGAAGAAAAACAACCCTTCAGGCTGTGCAGGTGGTCCTTTTGGGTGAATGTGGCATGGGAGCCTCACGCTCTTTTGCTTCCTCAGGGGATGGACTATCTGGGGTCCTGCCAGTATGTCCACCGAGATTTGGCAGCGAGAAATGTCCTTGTTGAAAACGAGCACCGTGTGAAGATCGGAGATTTTGGCTTAACGAAGGCCATTGAAACAGACAAGGAGTACTACACAGTGAAGGACGATCGGGACAGTCCTGTCTTCTGGTAAGGAACAGAGCCAAATACCAATAACACATAGCATCGTTTGAGCCTTGCCGCACTCTGATGGGGCTGGGGCTAACATGCCCCCATTTCATAGATGAGAATACTCCTCTTTGTCCTATGGAGGTGATGTGGGGTCGTCAAAGACCACTGAGCCCAACATCCTGCTGATGGGGAAAGGTTTAGGTCAATAAGAGCCATTTCATGAGCCCAAAGGGATCTCAGAGGTTATCTGGCACATCTTCCCCCTTTACAGATGGGGAAACTGAGGCCCATGGAAACCAAGTGACTTGCCCAAGGTCCTTTTTCATCCATTGTTTTAGGAATAGCCTGGCTGTTTGGAAAGGCTCCTCAGCCTAAGATTAGTCAGAGGAACTCATCAAACCATTTGGGTAGAGCTGGCTTCAGTCAGGAAAGCCTGGGTTCACGCACTGCCTCTGATACATGACGTCTGTATGACCCTGGCAAGTCTGACCCTGTCAGTGCCCCAGCCAGCCAGACTTTATATTCCAGAACTGTCACAGATCTGCCTTGGTAAAGGGATTTTCCTTGTCCTACACTTAAGAAATCTTCCCCCACAGAAAAAAAGTGGTTGTGCCCAGTGCGAGGAGTATCTCAGGCATCAGGGAAATGCGAATCCTGAAAGCAGCAGGGTCCTGTCACTCACCTCTGTACTTTTAAAGGCTAAAACAGCACTTTCCTCACTACTCCCAAGGAGGTGAAGAGTGCAGATACTGTTATCTGTGAGTTACTGATGAGGAGACAGAGGGTCAGAGAGGCGAACCCCAGAGACAAGTCTCTAGACTCACCTCCAGTATTCCCGCTAACCCTGGTCTGTTTCACTTGTGATCAATGAAGTCTGTCAATTTCTCACTCCAAGAAATCCCATGATTCATATTGTCTTTCCTTCTAGGTATGCCCCAGAGTGTTTAGTCCAGTGCAAATTTTATATCGCCTCTGATGTCTGGTCATTTGGGGTCACGTTACATGAACTCCTCACCTACTGCGATTCAGAATCCAGTCCCATGGCGGTAATTTTTATTCTTGCCTTTCCCCCCAAAGCTCACACGAATAAAAGGCGCTGCTCTCATCACCCAGATCCTCCACTCCTGACTAATTTCCCGAGTCTTTTAAAATGGGATTATTATAACACAGAAACTCCACTCAGGTGGAAAGAGAAAATTAATTTTTTTCCGTTTGAGTTGGTTCATTCAACAAATAAATATTGAATACTTGTGCTACGTGTTTTGAGCTACATATTACAGAATAGTAATAATCTAGTCCTGGTCCTCAAGGAGGTGGGAAAATAAGAACAGTAATAATAATAGCTGGTATTTATCTAGTGCTTTCAGGTTTACATATGTTATCTCATTTAATCTTCACGAAAAAAGCAGGTGCTCTTATTTGTCTCTGCTTTACAGATAGGGAAACTGAGGCTGAGAGAGTTTCAGTGACTTGCCTAAGGTCACCCAGCTAGAGAGTGCATGAGGCTGGACTTGAGCTCAGGTCTTCCTGACCAGACGGCTTTTAAATGCCAAAGAAGAGGCAGAGAAAGTCAGGGTCCTGAGATCAGGGGAAGGTGTAATCACTGTAGCCTGGAAGGGTCAGAGAGGCTTCATAGTACACATGGGAGATGTGAACCAGGATAGTATTTAAGTCATTATTATTAGTAGTACTATTATCATTATTATTAGTATCAGTAAGCAGTAGTAGTAATAGCAGCAGCAGCAGTAATAGTAAAGGAGTAAGAGAAAAAAAAAGTGAAAAGGGAGGATTTCACCAGACTGGTGAAGGCCCTGAATGTCCAGCCAAAGAAAGTGGACATTTTCCTATAGGTAAAGGAAAGAGTAAAGCCAACTTTACTGCTTATCCTTAAACCAAACAAATTAGAAATTGAGAGCGTGAGAACGAGGTGAAATTGTTAAGTAACAGCCAGGGTCAAATACTTTCAATGGTTTTGTTTTGTCCAGATGTTCTTAAAGATGATCGGCCCGACTCAAGGACAGATGACTGTCACAAGGCTTGTGCGTGCATTAAAGGACGGAAAACGTTTACAGTGCCCACCTAACTGCCCAGAAGAGGTATTCATGGGACATTCTATTGTAATACACCAAGATGACCACTGGGTCACATGGGGATCCTGGGTGGACGGGAAGTAGATGATGAGAGGGAGGATATTCCTTTAAAGAGACTTTTCAGATGCTGAGACATGAGGGAAAAAAATCATTCCACATCTTAAGCCAGATCTCCTACTCTACATTATGTGTCCCTCTGCCTTTATTTATGTTTTGCCATCTCTAAGCCCACTGAGGCAGCTAGAACCTTGAGACTGAATGTGGTGTGACTGAGTATATTACCTTTTCTGTATTCAATAGAGCCTTCAAATTTTAAGATTAGATTCAAAACTATAATTTCAAAATGTCATAAGAGGTAATTTTGGCCATAATTGAGCAGCAGGAATTGGGGGAAGGATGTAAATGAAGCATGAATGGTCTGTAAATTAATTTCCAATCTGGAATTGGATCAATCAACTCCAGGCTTGTTGTTGTATCTATGACCCTAGACTTCCTTCCCGAACTGGATTACAGAAAGAACTGGTAGCTTTTTGAGTTGGTGTGGACAATGGGTGAACCGATAAGCTTACTGAACTTTGCAAACTGCATCCAGTTCAGTTGTATCTTTCTGCCAAATACTCTAATCTCACTTTAAATGATCTGTTTTTTGACTCATAACTTTCATTTTTTGTAATCCGTTTTAAAAAGCAAACCCAACCCAAGCCAGCCTAACACCAGCATTGTTACTATTGCTATTTTTTCTTTTACAGGTTTACCAACTAATGAAGAAATGCTGGGAGTACCAACCAAACAACCGAACGTCCTTTCAGAACCTCATCTGTGGATTTGAAGCACTTATAAAATAAGATCCCATCGATCAAACATTGTTTGAAGTGCCTGTTGTGTGAAAGGCACTCCTCTAAGTGTTGGAGCATAAGCATCCCCCCAAAAACATTCTTTTGTTTGTGTTGCCCAACAGTTGGTGGCCTGCCCTCTGTAGAAGTCAAGTCCCTAAGCTCAGTTGGGGGGTGAGGAGGGCTCTTTTTGTTTTTTTCAAATTTAAAACATTTGTATTCTCCCCAGATTTGGTCATTCATTCATAAACTATTTATTGAGTGCCTGCTGTGCACAGAGGAGCTTAATATCTTCAGGTGGTTCTTTATAGGCGATGATCATGGAATGGTGAGATATAAGAGACCCACGTTTTAAGCACTCCTCTTGTTGGAAGATGTCTACCACCAGCCGCTGCAGCTAGTGGCTTTCGTTTCACTGGGCTTACTGGTAGCTGGTGGTTTAGTAACACTCACATGCCTTCTCGCAAGAATGGTATTTCCAGCAACAAGAAATGTGGCCCAAATCCTCTCTCAAATTATTTGCTTTCACTGCTGGTGATGAGTTATGTTATGAAACTGAGTCCATTTTCCTGACTTGTCAAATTGAGGCAAGGGCTGTAGGCTTATCAAGTTACCTTTCATTGTACATACAAACTTTCAGTATCTATACAAATGGACCAAACCTTCTGTCAAATGCCATTCACGTACTGCCCTTTGAAAATGAAGAGAATTCGACTTGAGCTCTTTTCTCTCACAACTCATCTTCTTGGATCCCTGGTGACCATCTGCAAAAAGACTGGCTGGGCAAAGGGATGCAGCCTGTGCCCGTTGGACAGAGCCTCTTTCTGTCTGAATCTGAACTGACTTGGGAATTGAATGGGTGGCGTTGACCTTGTTATCAACATGTCCTAATCAGCTGAATTAGAGGAGACCCAGTGCCACTCAATAGGTTTTCTTTTCATTCTTTTTTAAAAGTAAAAATGCAAATGCATCTCTTTAATGTTCAACCTTTGCTACAAAAAAGGAATTATTCCCAAAGATTTTGACACTTCAGAGGTCAAGCAGGTTTTATAAAACCACAAGTCTGTGGTTTTATATGTTGGATGGAAACATTTAGACACACCATATAAATTGTATTACACTTTTGGGCGTTTCTGTACTTGACATGGAAAGGCAAAATGCCTTCATGTAATGAGCATAGGCACTGAGCTCGTTATCATTAGGGGGAGTCTCTCGATACTGACCACATCCCCATCGTGTGCAGCATGGAACAGGGATGCCAAGACCAGGTAGCAGGTTGCTCCCTGCTTGGAAGCTAGCACCAGCTAAAAGGTGCCAACTTGGGGGATTGCTTGGGGATAGTTCACTAGCCAGTGAAAACGATGAGGTCGCCAATCCAACGTGAACAGGAATGGTTTTAAGGAATGTCTGTCTGAAGAATCATTCAAAACTCCATAGTACTAGTGTGCCATTGCTTTTCACCTTCTTATCTGGAAAATGCTTTTGGGAAAGATTCGGGGCTGGCAGTAATGAGAGACAGACAGACAGACGGAGAGACGGGCTGTTCAAACTGATATAGTGAGCTAAGGACTTCATTTTATACCCTTGCCCACATCAATGTGTTTGTCTTATGCAGGTAGTGGAATGTTCCCAGCATTACCCACAATTGTACCTGTTTGGAACCTGTGTACAACCTATATGCACTTTGTTACTCTTTATACAAATAAATCTAATAAAGAATTGACATGCATATGTCTTTTTAATATTAAGAATTAGATGAACACAGAGCATTTTAGTTTGATTACATAGAAAAATAACTATAATACAGAATTTTCATGGTGTCCTCCCCCCCCCCCAAATAATGGGCCTGGTTATTGATTATCGTCGTAACAAGCAATAGCAATAGCCCAGATGAAAAGGTCCCAGTAACCCCAACTCTTCATTTTAGGCCAAGGTTTTAATGCTCTCCACAAATAAACATTGATGGGTCTGTGCAACTGCTGGTTAACAGTCCTGATGCTGGAGTTTTCCTTCTCTGCTTTCCTGTTTGCCTATCTTGAGAAGGGCTACTGATCCCTGAAAACATTGAATGCAAGGCAGGAAGGAACACGGGAAAGGAAAACATGGGGCACAGATCAATGACAAGCCAGCTGTTGAATAATCACATTATATTGCTAAAGATGAGAGGCAGCATGGTGGGGTTGATAGCCAGGACACCTGGTGTTCAAGGCCCTTCCCCCCTCCCCCATCTCCACCCCTCTCCGTGCTGAGTGACCCTGGGCAGATCACGTGACCTGTAACAGATGCCCACGTGCCATCGTCACTGGCCGAGGAAATTTCTCCACTGGGAGTTCCCTTTATCAATGAAATCATGAGTCTAGTCCTAGCTTCATTTGATCAATCATTTGCAAGTTGAAGAATTCTTAGAAAGTGCTATGCAACTGCCCCATTTAATTTTCAAAATGTCTGATCAATCAACAAGCATTTATTAAGTGCCTACTGTGTGCAAGGCACTTGGCTACATGCTGGAATTAAACAGATGCGATTTAAGGAACAGAAAGAACAGGCAAGAAGTTAAGCAAATGAAAATTCTCTACAGAGTACAGAAAGTGTTATTAAGCATCAATACCATACGACATAATTAAAATAGGGCAGATTTCCATTGTATCTCAAACATAGCAAATCTTAAAAGGGGCTGAGGACACCTTTAATTCTATTTTGCACAAGCTTGGGATCCTTGAAGACCAGGGTCTGTTTGCTCAATGACAGCATTTGTATCTCACATATCCAGAAACTTTCTGGATTGCAGGGGCTTCCTGCCTCCTCTAGGCTTGGTGCCAGTACTGTCAGGTACTGTACCGGTTAGGGTTTATACTGAAGGTGGTACATTAAGGTTTAGACTCATGGGAGGGAAGGGGGAAACAAGGATTTATTAAGCACCTACTATGTGCCAGGCACTGTACTAAGCGCTTTACAAATATCTCATTTGATCTTCAAGATCAAAGAGGTCATAAATACTGGTACCACAGTAGGCTCCTTAAGAATAATAATAATAATAATAATAAACACTAGCATTTATATAGCGCTTCGGCGTTTGCAAAAGCGCTTACTTATCTCATTGGGTAATAGGAAGGAAGACACTGATCGCTTGACTGCTTTGGAAGAATGAAGGAGATGGCTTCCAAAATGACAGTGGGGCTAGTGACTGAATGACCTCATGCCTCAGCTCTCTGTCAGGAAGCTGAGTAAAGAAGCTTGGCCTCCCTGCCAGCTACATGTCTCTTGTGAATGAATACCAAGACTCTCAGGGGTAGGAGGTATGGACCAATTCAAATTCATGGACCTTTCAGAGGGCCAAAGGCCTTTCCCCAAAGTACCTAGAGCCTTTAAAACCAAGTCAAAGTTAGCTAGCTCCCTCTTGTGAGGACTCGATTACCCAAGCCAAAAGATGTGGTAACAAGATCATCAAAATCAGTTTTTTACAATTACAATGGAAAAAGAAAAGTAATTGTAGCCTATTTAGTTGCTTCTCGCTGTTTCACACATGTAAGTAAAAAAGAAGTGATTTTTAAAATGCAAAGTAATTCTCAAACTTTCAAAGTAAAATAGCTAAAAAAAAAAAAAATAATAAAGCTATGGCTAACCATCTCCTACCAAACAATCACACTATCTGTATGTCTCCGCATGGAATTTGTGCTGCAAAGCTGATTGTATGCCCGGAATTTCTTTTTGCACATAAAGCTTTCTGAAAACAAGGTCATGGCTGCTGCTTGGAACGTGCTTTTTTACAACTGTGGGCAAAGCTCAAACAATCATAGACTTCGGGTTCAAAAGGACCTTAAAGGTCGATGGGTCCAACCTCTTCATTTTATAGATGAGGAAACTAGGGAATTTAGGTATGTGTAAGATCAACCAAGTGGTAAGTAACAGGAAGTAGCTGGAACTCGAACCCAGGTCCTTGGACTCCAAATCCAGTGTTTTTCCTGCTACATCATGATCTCTCACACCTACAAAAGAAACTAACTAGCAGAAATAGATTGGAATGCACATTGGCTTACAGGGTAAATTAAAAGGAAAAAAAAAATCAACCTGTCTATTAGACTCACCCTCCTAAGGCTCAGGAAACAAGGGTTTCCTCTTTATTGCTTTAGACGATTAGAGAAGGTATCAAAATGATTATGGGAAAATTGGTTTCTGCAGTCAGAAAATAATGAACAATTGTTAATCTCAGCAATCTATGGTAAGTTTAACACATCATGTAGGATGCACCTAATACTAGCAGGAAATGGTCTCAGTGGATGTCTTTTTTTTTTTTTAATTATTGCTTCTTATTTTCATTTGGCAAATCTGCCATCTATGAAGCACTCGATGTTCCTCCTGGGAACGGTGATCCGTTTTTTTTTCAAGGAGATGGCTAGTCTGGCCAACTTTAAGGCAGCGATGAACAGCAGAGGTCCTGGAAATGAGCTACGCAGAGCAGACGGGAAGACCGACCAATAGAGGGAACCTCAGTAGACACGTTTCTTCTTTAAATAGGATTCTGCATAATACCCGCCTGTGCCCTGAGAATGTTGGTCAACAAATTCCACCGAGCTCCCTTCGGGGGCAGAAATGAGGTATGAGGAGCCTCTCTTTTCATTTCTTAAAGGTGAAGATACCTGGAAGAAAGTAACCATTAAAAATAGTAACCAATAAAATCTTAAGCTCAGAGCTTGTTATTTATCAAAAATGTGTATAGTGGACCCTTGCCCTCTAGCCTCACCAGTTTCCACAACTGTTCTCTATTGATGCAGAAAAGAAAAGGGCATAAGAAACACTTGGCATCTTTCTCCCAGAAATTCAAATGCTCATATATTAAAACAACAGAAAATCTCTAGGAAAAAGCCGTGCACTGACTATAAAGCCTGAGAGGGGGAACCAATAGATTATATACTACAGAGAGGACAGAGATGATGGAAAGGAAGATCACTTTCCCTCTTCCTCTATCCTCCATTTCTCTTCCTGAGTGTTATACATTTTAATCAAATTGTTTCTATCTCCCTCTATCTTATTTCTATCCTCCTGCTACATTTGTTTCTACCTTCCCTTCTATCTCCCTCTTCCCTCCCCCTTTCCTTTCCCTCTCATTTCTCTCTCCTTTCTCTTCCTTTTCTCTCCTCCTTTCTTCCCTTCTCTCTATCCTTCCCTTTCTCCCTCTCCCTTCCCTCTCTCTTTTCTCTTCCCTTTCCCCCATATATATCTGCTACCTCTGCCTTCCTTTTCTCTCCCCCTTCTTCCTTTCTTCCCTTTTCTCCATCCCCTCTCTCCCTTTCCCTTCCCTCTCTTCTTTCTCCTCTTCCCCTTCTCTTCCATCTCTCCCTCTCTCCCTCACCCTTCCTACCCTCTCTTCTCTTCCGCTTCCCCTCTATTCCATCTCTCTCTCTTCCCTTCTCCCCAGAAAATCAAAAATCAAGAGAGAGAAGAAGGGAGGAAGGGAAGAATGTATCTGAAAATGAAGGTGATGTGAAAAAGAAAAGCTAGAATACATTTTTTTAAAAAAAGAAAATAACTTTTAAAAACTGTCTCACACAGGAGTGATCAATATCAACACTGAAAGGTTGCTTTCGGCCACCTTGTGATCCAACCATTCTGGAGAGCAATTAGGAACTATGCCCAAAGGGCTATGAAATGTGCATACCCTTTGACCCAGCAATAGCACTTCTAGGACTGTATCCCAAAGAGATCATAAAAATGGGAAAAGGACGCATGTACAAAAATATTTATAGCAGCTCTTTTTGTGGTGGCAAAGAATTGGACATTGAGGGAATGCCCATCAATTGAGGAATAGCTAAACAAGTTGTGATGTACGAATGTAATGGAATACTATTGTGCTGTAAGAAATGATGAGGAAGTGGACTTCAGAAAAGCCTGGAAAGACGTGTATGAACTGATGGTGAATGAAGTGACCAGAAGCAGGAAAACATTGTATACAGTAACAGCAACATTGTGTGATGACTAACTTTGATAGACTTAGCTCTTCTCAGTAACGCAAGGATCTAAGACAATTCCAAAAGACTCACAATGGGAAATGCTATTCACATCCAGAGAAAGAACTATGGAGTCTGAATGCAGATCAGAGCATACTATTTTTCCTTTTTTGGGGGGGAGGGGGTTTCTTTCTCATAGTTTTTCCCTTTGGTTCTTCTTTACAACATGACTAATGTGAAAATATATTTAACGTGAATGTATATGTACAGCCTGTATCAGATTACATGCCATCTTGAGGAGGGAGGAGGAAAAGGAGGGGGAGAAAATTTAAAACTCAAAATCTTATAAAAGTGAATGTTGAAAACTAAAAATAAATAAATATATATATTTTTTAAATCACATAATAATTAAAAAAAAAAAGAAGATCACCCTGACCCCAGACTTTCTTGGTCTCAACTTTGGCAAATAGAATATGAAAGACTTGGTGTAGTCAGGAGAACTATATACAAAAGGAATAAAAAGACTGTTAAGGAAATAATACTAGAGCCCTGTATATTAGGTGGCACAGCAGACACAGCACTGGGCCGGGAGTCAGTCAGGACAGACCTGAGTTCAAATCCTGTTTCAGACACTAGCTGTGTGACCCTGGACAAGTCACTTAACCTTGTTTGCCTCAGTTTCCTCAATTGTAAAATGGGGATAATAACAGTACCTACCTCGCAGGGTTGTTGTGAGACTCAAATGAGATAATACTTGTAAAGCACACATAGCAGTACG